TGCGGCATCCAAGGACCCCTCCGTCCATCCAAGGAACCCTCCCCCTTGGTTTGATTCGATCCCTCCCCCGCCCCCGCTCCACGAACCTCTGTCGCTCTTGCTCTTGATTTTGCGGCCTCGCGAGGGAGGACGCCTGGTTGATTCGTTCCGTCCGCCTTTGTGGTTGCAGGAGCCAGCAGGGTTCCTTCCTTCTATCCCCTCTGTTTGTTCCCGTGTCGAGGGGCAACAGCAACAACGAGGAGGAGGTTCTTTGCCTTCTCTGCGCGCAGCCAGCAGGTTGGTCTCCTCGCCTCCCTTCCAAGTTGATTCCATTCCATCTGGTCATGCCCCTATGCTGCTCATGCTTGATTGAAGCCCCCTGTGAGGCTGTGTGTATCTCTCTTGTTAATGATCCGGAGGGATTTGGTGTCATTTCCATGAACAACAATCACTTTTTGATCGAGTTAGTAAATCGTCGGCTGGTCCTGTCCTGTTCTTCCATGCCCGGGAACACAACACTCATCTTTTTTTATCAGTTTCTTTTTGTTTGCACCGTTTAGGTCCACTCCTTTGTACCCAAAGGGGCTATTTTTTTTATGCTCCTTTGTACCCTTCCACTGCTTTCCACTTTGTACTAATGGCCAGGGATGTTGTGCTTCATTCATGCCTCATACAAGTTGGGTTGATACTGCAATAGCAGACCAACTGATAAATGGGTTCTTGCAATTCCTCTGTGCCTATGCTTCTTGCATCAGGCCTAGCACCCGCAAAAAGTATGTTTGCTTAGCTGATACGGCTGCTAGTTTGTCATGTACGCACCCATTGGCACCCTTTGAAATTCAGAATATATCTCGTTTCTTTATTCTTGCTCTTATCCGTGATTTGATTTCTTCAACCAATTGTATAAGGTGGAGGGATGAAACGGTCTGCTGGCCTATAATCAACTCGGTTCATTCTTATTTTATTACATGGTTGTTGAAAGAACAAAAAGACCGGCTGCGGACCAATCTGTTGACTTACGATAATGGCGGTGGTTCAAGCCGTATTTTGACCAATCAGTTGACTTTTTTATTGGCTAAGCTGGGACACTGGGAGTTGGGCTAGGGCCATATCCTATCTGTTACCAATGACATGTCTTGGTATCCGACGATTAATCATTGTTCGTAGATGCGAAGTGTAAGGGGAGTTTGCTTTGATAGTTTTGACACACCCGACATAGTTATGAAAATGGATAGCTACTATAAAGTTGTTGTGATAAACACTTACTGAATTATCTAATTCTGATAAGGATAAAGTATTCAGAAAAAAAATGCATGGTGAAAAATGTTCCCTTGATGCAACAATCCACCACCATACCGTATAAATTTGACATCTGCGTTGACTGGACTATTGTTTCGTTTGACAGCTTTGGTAAAATTGCATACATCACAAGCACATATTGAATTCTATTTTATCTCAACAACTTATCATTCTTCAGTGTCATGATATCGTTGAATTTCCCTGACTTGATTCACAGCATTTTCCTGACATTGTTATCTTCTGTATTGGACAGTTCAAGGCCCTTAAGATTAAGATTGGCGGTCACTCTTCGTCGATGGCGAACACGGGTTTATCACGGCGTAACTCTTGTCCAAAGGTGGAATACTGAATTACCTCTCCATTTTTGCAATCATTCTACTTCTTATTCAGGCATGGGGCATTTGGTTATATGCCTTTATTATGCAAGATGAAACCCTCTCGCGTATGGCGGGGAAATCATGCTGTTTTTTATGTCATAGAAGTCATGTGAGGGTGGCATTCGATTGTTTTTTCAGTTTCATCTTCGTGTACCTAAATTTCTGCTTATGCATTTATATGAATTGTTTTGCTTTTGTTAGGTTCACAGCGCATTGTGCAGTGAGCTGACTATGATGCTAGATAAAATCTCCTCTATTCTTCCATCAATTGAGGCAGCTCGACCAGGATGTAGAGCAGGAATACAGGAATTGTGCAACTTATACCATATAGTTGAGAAAGGAAGGCTCATAACTCAGCACTGCATCGAATGTAGTAAACTCTACTTGGTATGTTATTCCTGTGTTGATGGGAAACTCAAGCTTCTAACATCCTAAATTTATTATTGATTCTTGGACCCTTTGTTGTGATTATTTGGTGCTTTTGGAAGGATTATTTGATGATTTTGGATACTTATGTTTCAGGCAATTACAGGTGAGGCGATTTTATCACGGTGTGAAAGGGTCAGAGACTCACTTAAACGGAGTCTCTTCCTGATTCAGAATATGGTCCCAACAGTATTAGCTAATCAGGTTAGTTGATTTATTATGATGTTTTACTCTTTTATTTTGTCACCAACTCAACTTATGCTAGGATAAATATACCATAGTCCCTCTCAATGCTGCTTATCATGCAATTTCAGGCATTCTTATGGCAGCATCTTCACTATTATTTTTGCTTTGATTGATTGGTTGTGGGAAATGTATAGGATTAGTGGGTATCCGTAGGGACCTATTGGTATTGCTTATCACAATTTCAGGCACTCTTATGACAGCAACTTCACTATATTTTTGCTTTCATTGATTGTGTATACTTTGCTTGTAACACAGATTGCTGACGTCCACAATGATCTTCGAGATGTAAAATTTTCTGTTGATCCACTGGAACAAGAGGCTGGCAAATCAATTTTAGAGATGCTTCGGCAGTCTGATGCAACTGAAGAACTTCTACTTCAGACATTCATGCAGGCAGCTTCAAAGTTAAACCTGACATCTCCTAAAGCTATCTTAATTGAAAGAAGAGCGATCAAGAAACTGCTCGATAAGATTACTGGTACTGATCAGAAAAAGGAGCAGGTTCTTAAGTTTCTCCTACATCTTGTTACAAAGTATGGAAAGAACGTCAAACCAGACACTGGTGAGCGGAATGAAAATTTACAATCTGAAAGTAAGTCTTTGAGTCCAAGCTTAAGTCTTGCAAGCGATGCCAGTACTCCTGAAAAGTGCGACAAGCCAACATACTTCCAGGGATATGAGTATCAGAGTAGCATGTCTGGAGAAACCACACCACCTACAGAGTTCTGTTGCCCAATATCAACAAAGCTAATGCATGATCCTGTGATAATAACATCTGGACAGACTTACGAAAGAGAATATATTGAGAAATGGTTCAGTGAGGGATACAACACTTGTCCCAAGACACAAAAAAAGCTAGAAAACTTTGCGATGATTCCAAATACTTGCATGAGGGATCTCATTTGCAACTGGTGCAGAGAGCATGGTTTCACAATCTCAGATTTTCTTCCAAGCAAAGATTCCTACAGTTATTTGCCAGAGCAATTGCATGGTCACTCTATGTCAAGTTTGCACAATGTTTCAGTACCTCTAATTGCTGGGAATGCCAGGAATTTTGTGATTGATCACAGCAGTTCATCTGTCGCGTTTTCTGATGCCAGTTATGTCTCAGATTCCTCCCATGTGAAGGATATGGAGGAGCCGAAGGATACTTTTTCTCAGTTCTCTTGGAGTGTAGATTATCAGAAGCATCTGTCATTCCACAACTTCAACCAGTGCATGTTCCTGAGGTTCTTCTGCGAGCTGTCCAAGCTCCCATTAGAAATACAAGGAAGCTCCATTAAAGATCTGAAGAACATTCTTCACGATGACGATGATGTTTCCTGGGCTATGGCGTCCCATGGATTTGTAGAAGCATTCCTCGAATTCTTGAGAAATGATAGCAGCAGCTACAGTATGAAAGCTCAACAAGCTGGATTACATTTTTTTCTTAATTTCCTTTCCAACAGCAGGTAGGAGAATCAATCTTCTCTGACGAATCCGCATCACTCTTTCATTAATTTAGATTGGGGTTCAAGCAATACTACATTTATCTATCTATTCTACTAGTTTTGTGCGTATCTCAGGCCTCGTGATAGCATTCTCAAAGACACTATTGTTTGAGTTGCAGGGCTAAGATTCCATCCATGGATGAAGAAGCATTCCGTCTTATCACGTCCTTCCTCAGTTCGGAGCTAAAAACTGAAGCTTTGTTGGTGCTCCATGAACTGATTCGACACCTGAGTCGTCAGCAATCCTGTCAGATGGCCTCTGTTGTCACTCCTCCTGTTTTGGCAATATTGGCATCTGAAGATATCGAGGGCCTTGAGCTTCCCTTGAAGATTATCTGTGATCTTTCATCCGATGCTGATGTGAAGTCAGAGCTGATTTCACTTGGAATAATCTCAAAGCTGGTTCCCATTTTGGCAGAAGGAAGCTTCGTCGAGTGCTGTTTGGAGATTTTGCGGAACTTATGCGACATGGAAGAAGCTATGGTGCTTATTACCAGAACAGACCGATGTCTTGGTTCCATTGCAGAGTATCTAGACACGGGAAGCCCTAAAGAACGAGAACTTGCAGTGATAATCCTTCTGGCAATATGTTCCCGTAGCGTGGAGGATTGCTCCCAGGTGATGAAGGAGGGCGTTATCCCCGCCCTCGTGGACCTGTCGGTGAACGGGATCGATGAAGCGAAGAGCTGCTCGTTCAAGCTACTGAATCTTCTGAGGGATATGAGGCAAAGCGAGCTCAACAACTCGTGTTCCCAAGAAGTGGCGGCCGCCGCCGAAGTGATAGAGGATCCTCCCACCGAGAGCCCGATTCACAGGCGGCCAGCATCGAAGTCATCTGGTTTTTTCCAGAGGAAGCTGAACATTTTCTCGAAACCTCGGTCCCTGACGCTGTTTTGAGGACCGAGTTGGTAGGCCTTGTACATGTTAGTATACAACACTAACCGTTCTTTTTTTGGTTCTTGGCATGGATAGATAGTAGCAGTTGTATTGCCCAAATGAAATGCTTGGTGAGATGTTCTTTATCATCCTCGAGTCTTTCAGTATATATTGGTTAGCAGATTTGTCAGTCTTGCTGATTGTAGATGTGTGTATAAGAAGTAAAGAAAGACAGCTGGTATAGTTTCATCCATGTCTTGTGTGGCAAAAAGTTTGCCTCTCTGTGTGTAGTGTGTACTCTACTGTTCCACAGTAGCTGGAAAGCCCCGGGGAAATATCTGGTACTCCCACCTTTAGTGTGCTCCCGGTGCTCCAAAACTTGGTAGCACATTTTTAAATGTTCAAAAAAAATCTGAAAAAATCCAACATATTGACACAACATCAAAGTATGTTGTCAAAAAATTGAAATCAAAATTCGAAATGTAGCTTGAGAAACATAAATGAGAAATTCGGCAGTAAATAGTACAGAACATAATTTGGGCTTTAGACTAGGCCCATTATCACATTGATGTCCATTTTGTCATTTTTGTATCTCGAGCAATGTTTCGAATTTTGATACGAATTTTTTTGACAACATACATTGATGTTGTGTCAATGTGTTGGATTTTTTTCAGAATTTTTTAAACATTTAAAAATGTGCTACCGAGTTTGGAGCACCGGAAGCACCCTAAGGATGGGAGTACCAGATATTTCTCCGGAAAGCCCCAAATGAACGAAGATTTTACTCATCTTATCTCAACAAACCAGGGCAAGTGGCTCATCCTATTATTGCCAGAAAAGAGTTCCCTCTCATGCCTTGGGATAGGATTAGTAATTCTAAGTGGAAGTTTATCGGTGATGTTCAATG